AAGATCTTCAGATGATGTGGTGCTGCAGGTTTTTCTGGGTTTTCCTGCAGCTGAAAAAGCAAATGCGCCACTGGAATCAATGAAGTCGCCCCGGAGCGCCAATTAATTTTTATTGTTTATTTTTATCGTTGTTTCAATTAAACTTGTTCAGTTTCCTTTAGAGTTTTACAGATTATCTTCAATTTGATCCACTGTACCTGGTTCAAATTTTTATAATGGCTACAAAGGTAGAGATCCCTTCAAAACAAAAATTTGATAAGAGTTCAAAAAATGTTCTCATTAAGCTGTGTCCTTACTTCATTCAATTGAAGTATGATCCATATATATCAATGTCCGTCTGATATCAATTGAATTCAGTCTATTTTCCTATTATATTCCTTGATAATTGAATATTACTGGCTGATACTTGATGACAATCCATATTGAAACTCATTAATATAGATTATTGTATAATTTTCACTGTAAAGGGTTTTACAAAATTCGTGACACGTGCTTCGCTATACTTTCTCAAACGTAAAATGAATAAATAAAAAATTAAATTGAATTTTAAAGTATGTTTCGTCCATGAAATGGCTAAAGACGACTCTGACCAAAGAGCAATAATGGAACAAAATAATAGAAATGGAAGTTTTTTCGAAGTATTTTTTTCAGAAATGTTTCATTTCAACAGGCCAAAACACCTATTATTTGGCATTGTATCTGATTTGTATACAAACATACTCCTAATATTCAAATAATTTATGCTTTAAATTGCTGAATCTGGTTTCAAATGTATGGTGTACCGCCACATTTCATCACAACTGTGCCCGAGTTTGTAAACCGAACCTTTCCGGGATGGCGGATATGAAAATGGGAACAATGGAATGGCCCAATAGATCACCTGATCTTAGCTCGTTGGAATTTTTAAAATCAGAAGTCTCTATGGAGAGGCCTGATAATATCTGTGACCTAAAAGACTGAATTAGGTGATACATGTAGAACATAACACTGTTCTATAAAATGACAGAGACAAATTTAATGCCTGAGAAGGTCATTGTCTAGCAGTCAATGAAAAATACTTTATTCATCAAGTAACTGCTCAAAGGCGTGAATCAAAATGAAAAATTGATGTGAGTCTGGAATTTTTAATATTGTTTATTTATCTGATAATCATGAATGTATGTATTATTTTAAGGGTGTTTTGTACACAATGCAGAGGATAGTACTTAATAAATTGACTAGAAGGCACTTATGAACGATATATGACATGAAAAATGTTCAAACACAATTACCTTGAATTTCTCATTGAGCTTTTTGGTGAATCTGCTCAAATACTGGGCAGTATGCCTTAAATTTGATGTGATTTTCACATGGTATCCATCTTGAATCGCCGTGTTGGTTGCTGCTTGTAACAAAGTTTGCAATGGCAGACCTAAATGTTTACTGATGTAATTTTCTACCAAGTAGGTCTTGTTTTGTATACCACATCTTTTCAATCGAAACTTTTGCTCATGGTATCGACCATCTCGAATACTCTTTGCAAAGTCATCTAATCTCTTTCTTTCAATAATATAAGGAAGAATAAGTTCTTTTTTACTGACCCGGTGCCTGCCTTAAAAAAATAAATGATATATACACACATTGATTATATGGTTGATAATCTCTATTCTATTTGAGGCACTTTTAAACCATAATCATAGTTGATTAAGATTTTTAATGAAACTGAATACTGAAACTTACATATCCAAACAAAATCTCCAACGCTTAAGCGCTTAACTTCATATGCAGGAACATGAGGTAGTTTTGTGAGTTCGGCTAGAAGTGGGTCATTCTTCACAACAACATTGCTTCTGAAAACAAATTACAACCGTATGAATACTGAAGTACTGGTAATCCAAACACATAGACGCATCAAGAAGTAATACCAACCTTTTTATATTTTTAATGAATATGTCAGTTCTAGACAAATGTGATAGATTTTTTTTATTAATTCAGAAAGTCAAAGTGAATGACCATTGGTTCATCACAATAATATTAATAATGGTTATTCATTTTCTTGAATAAATTTGAGAGGAAAAGTATAATAAGATTGATAATAAAGGGAAGAACCAGTTTTCAGTATGTGTGTGGTACAGGGTTACAAAGTTCATCAAACACTAAAAACGTTTTTGGAAATTACAGAAAATAATTCATGTAGTAGTAGTAGTAGACTTTATTTTAGGAATCCTAATATACAATATATAGTTCAATATATATGAATAATTTATATCTATATATAATTTTACACTGCGTCATGTATTACAATTTGATATATTCTAATAATAACTTTTCGAATCATTTTGAGGAATTTACATGTTTTATTTCATCAGGTAACTTATTGAAACTATCTAGACCTTTAAAAGAACAATAAATTCATTCCACTCTTATAGTTTGTTCGGGATCTATAAAATGTATTACACGTTCTTGTGTTATATGAATGAATGTCACTATTTCGAACTAAATATCTGCTAAGATACGCTGGTTGTATCCCACCCGTAATTTTGAAAATAAAAATCATGCTCAAATAATAGATTCTTTTATGTACCGGCTGCTATTGTAAAGTATTCAACATAGATTCAATAGGGGTATGTTGGTTGCATCTCAAAATGATTCTCATATCTCGATTTTGTAGTTTCTGCAACTGTCCCATTTGATTTTGGTTGAATAGATACATCAGTGTGGCACAGTAGTCAAAGTGTGACCTTATTATGCAGTTGTAACATGTTAGTCTAGCAAAGGTTGATAAAGATTTTGAAATTCTAGAGGAAAAATACATTTTCTTACATATCTTTCTAATGGTATATTCGGCATGCTTATTCAAGTTTAATTGATGGTCTATAATGAATCCTAGGTACTTAATTTCATTTACAATTATTGTGAGTTGATTATTGAATATGCTGATATTAACGTCGTTAGTATCAATCTTTCTTTGATTCGAATTTGTTGTAACAATCATTGCCTTAGATTTATTGATATTCAGTTTGAGTTTATTCACTTGTAGATATAATTCAACGTTCTTTAAAGATATATTGATATTTTGTACAGCTTTTTTAAATCACAGTTTTCCGTATATACAATCAGCAAATAAATTAATATGGTGTGAACCAGATACATAGCTGATATCATTTATATAAATAATGAATAGCAGTGGTCCCAAAACACTACCTTGTAGTACACCTATGTCATTTATAATTTAATCAGACAATACATCACAAATTTTAGTCCTTTGACTTCTTTGCTCAAGATAACTATCTAACCAGTTTGAAGCTTTTCCAGTTAAACCATAATACTTCAGTTTATTGATTAAAGTTTTCCTATTAATTGTTTCAAAGGCACGCTTGAAATCTAGAAATATAGCAACAATATATTCTTTTTTATTAATAATTTTTTTCCACTCTGTGACTGTTGTAATGCTGTTTCGCTGGAGTGATTCTTACGAAAACCAGACTGATTTTCGATGAATAAATTATTTTCATTAAAGTATGTAACTAGTTGTTCATATACTGCCAGTTCCAGTACTTTTTCAAGCGTTGGAAGACTGTTTATTGGACGAAAATTACTTGCATCACTTGTATTATTTATTTTCGGAATTGGAGTCACTGTACTAACTTTGTACTGGTTTGGAAACAGTCCCGTGTACAGTGAAGTATTTATAAAGTTCAATATTATACGCCCAGACACATCGAAAGTTTCTTTTAAGAATTTATTATTTATGATTTCACTTTTATTTACTTTATCAAGAGAAAAAACTATCTTACATAAAATTAACATGTTTATTTTTTTGAATTGACTCAACCTACTGTTTATGGGTTTATAGTTATTCGGTGTCCATATCTCATCACAATATATACTATTTTCTATCTCAATTATACTGTTTACAAAATATTCATTGAATTTATGGGCAATATCTATTGGATTATCACATATTTTTTTACCATTACTATTTTCAAACATAATTCTCTTTATATTATGTGATTCTACTGGTTTGACTAGTTGTTTTAGACATTTCCACATAATTTTTAGATCTATTTTATTTTCATCAATTTTATTTTCGCAATATATTTTTTCTTTTTCTTTTAGAGTATTAACATAGGTGTTTCGTGAGTATTTATATTGTTGCCATTTTTGTTCTCTTTCAGCGGTTGCACATGTTTTGAAATTTTTATAAGCTATATCTTTTTCTCTTGATAATGTTTTCAGTTCACTGTCATAGAATGGTAATTGATTTGACTTAATTTGTATTTGCTTTTCAGGTGTTATTTTGTTAACAATTCCAGTAAATTTTGTTTCTATTTCATCCAATATTTCATTCACATTGGTTGTATTCAAGTTCCAATTAACAGAGAGAAGTTCTAAATTGATTTCTTTATATATACTTTCATTTAAATTTCTTACACAAATTAATTTGTTTGAAATTTCTTTCCTACAGTCAAAAATGTTAACTGATATTATAGAATGATCAGATATTTTTGGTACATCATGTACAGCAGTTCGTATATTTGATTCATTAGAGATCACATAATCAATAAGAGTTTTGCTGTTATTTGTCACTCGCGTATAATCACTAACAAGTTGATCAATTCCAAATGAGTTGAATATATTTATGACTTTTTTACTATAAAAACTGACTTTTTTAAAATCAATATTGAAATCTCCAATCAGGGTACACTTTTTATTATAGAAATAATTTTCAAGAATATTTTCCAGACTGTTCAGAAACCCAAAATGGCTTTCATTAGGCGAATGATAAAGTATATTCTCCACTCAATCAGACTATCATAATTATCCCACTACAAATGCAGATAAACTGAGACAACCGCTGAATAAACTAGAAATGTCTATAAACTGAACTAAAGATAATAAATACATATCACAATAATAATATGATATATAGTATAAAAAAGCAATATAATGATGAAATAGTATAGAATATTCAAAGGAAATGTTTCAGGAAATATTGTGACTCAGTTCAATTTTGATGGTATTTGTGGAGCTGCTAAAGATATCAATCAACCTGTTGATATATATTTCCATTTCTGAGCATTCGAGTGACAGGAGAGAAAAAAATATAATTTGTGGAATGGAACGGTATTTTGAATGATTCGGTACTGGCTCTGGTCTGTCTGTTGACATTCAAATTAATTAAAGATAAAATCTCCTCACAGTTGATGTTGCCAGTTAAAATTTTCTACAGTTACAAAATATTATGTTCAGAACATCATCGGGTGCTGATGGTAATAAAGTTGTTATTGACTGTAGTATATTATTTTTTAACTCCTAGTGTTACGCCAGAGGTTCCGTTACGAAATATCAAATTGTGGTATTATTTATTGATTTTTCAATCACTGTTTCAACTATTAAGACGTAAGCATCATTACGTGATTGTCTTATAGCGATACCAACTTCTTCGAACTTCCCAATAAGCATTTCAATTAATTTTCTTTTGTTAAACCGATTAGATAAGAAATGTTCTTAACCAATGGGAACTTCTATCGATTCATTGAAGTGTACTTCAGAAGATGTATAAATGGAAAAAGTTCATCTTAGTTGTTCTATCACTTTGATATTTTTACTGGTATCAGAATAACCATAAAAAATGGCAACAGTATTTGTACCTAACTTCTACTATACTATAATAATAATAATAATAATAATAATAACAATATCGCCTTTATTATTTCATAACCAAAAGAAAAAACACAACATAACTTATATATTCAACTTACAATTTAAATAAAGGGCGAAGTTCATCGTCTTTAATGAAATACATGAAGTTTAAAATGTTCTAAAAGAGTAGGCACTAAATTCTCAGAAATAACTGACATTTTTGCCTTAATCTGTCTCTTGCAGTGGCGTAGGGAAAATGAAAAATAATGATGACAATATATAGAATCACAACCTTGACAACAATGTTTTCAGTTTAATACAATAATATTTCTGAGAATTCAGTGCCTGCTATTATGGAATTGTATTATACATCACCATCCGCCCGTGTGAAATACGGTTTCATGACACATTAGGTTTCGTGACAGACCATTTTAAACCAATAGTTACAATATTTTTTTATTAACCCAAAACTTGAGGTTTCCAACTTCAAAATGGATGAATGTAATGTATGTATTTACGTTTTGTACTTTTTCACGCTCAACGGATTCAAATGTAAGTTGTTATATAGATAGATCATGACCTGGAATAACACATAGGGTTGGCTCCCACGGTAACGTGGGTAAAACAGCGGGGAACAGCCAGTATTATATAAGTGGGTACCTATTGATTGACCGACAATCTTAAAATGGTACTTGTTGATAGGGCCTATTATTCAGTTCAGGAGAATCTTGACGATTCTCTTGAATCTTAACTTTTATTTCTATGTCCTGTTATTTCCTGCTGAATATCTCAGTGTGTTTCACATTTTTAGCTTATGTTTATTGTATTTTGTTTAAATTGTGTATATTTTTTTTGTAGATTTTTGTATCTTACATATTATTTATGACTTTGTCTACAAGATGTAGTTCTTCAGACAATAAAGTATGTTTGATTGATTGAATGATTGATATATTAACGTACATCCAAAGCTACTGAATCTAGAATCTTGAAATATGCAGGCAGGTTCTTTGTATAGCGTAAATAAGTATCAAGGAAGGGAATCAGGAATTTCCACCCCCAATAGGGAAAATAGGAGGTCAAAGATTGTATCAAATTTCATCAGTTTTGAAGTTGGAAACCTGAAGTTTTGGGTTGATGAAACAATATTGTAACTATTTGTTCAAAATAGTCTGTCACAAAACTTAATGTGACAAACCAAATTCTACGCAGGCGAAGCCGCAGGCAACAGCTAGTAATTAGTATTTTTACTTTGAAAATACAGTAAATAAAAAATATGCCAACTGCACTAAGTAATTAATCTTATCGTGATAACTTTTAAATGATTCGTCCAAATTACTTAGTGTAAAAGACAAAGTTTATCTATATTAAATATTTAAAATGACAATTGTATCAATTTTTATAAGAATTTAACAGATATTCTAAATTGTGCATTGTGAAAAAAATATCCAATTCAATTATATTTATGGTCCAATATTCTATTTATTTAGAACTATTCATGATAAAAAATCTTATGGTACATTATCTTCATGTAACTCCAACGGTATAGGCAGCGGACGCCAAGATAGCTCTCAGGCGACTTACTTAATACTTATCATTATATTATGACCAAATTGCAGAAAACTTTTGTAAATTGTAGCATATATGTTATTCTGATGTATAAGCTGTATTTATGTAAAGTTTTATCTAAATCCGTTTGATCGTTTAGGCGTGAAAGAGGCACAAACATACATACATCCTTACAAAATTTCACATTTATAATATTAGTATAGATGTATCCACTCCTTATGAAAACTGTTCGAAAGCATGAAACTACTGAAATATTTTTCAACTGAGCTAAACACAATCCGACAGGTATAAGGGAAAGGGTCTTGGAACAATAAAATATGAAACATCTGCCAGTGGAGGTAGTTTGTATTATATACAGTAGATTTTATTAAGTTCCAAAACCTCTATAATATAAGTATGTTTTTCAAAAAACGCCCCATCAATCAGATATAAGTTTTTAAAACATTTAAAATCATGAATAAAAAGCAATAGAGTTTACGCAGAAAACATTTTTTTTGATGAATTCACAACGAACAATTTTTATACTGACTTCCGAGCAATAGGTCACGATATATTTGTGAAAAACTAATTTTCATAACCTTTTGACCTTTAAGTATAACTTTTTTAGCCGGCAAGACATCAATGTCAATTTTTGACATCTTTATTACAACGCCGTGATAAAGGTGTATAGAAAAATTCAGCTCACTAGGAATCGGAGTTTAAAATGCCTAAAATGACTGAACTATTGCCTGATCGCACTTTTGATAACGATCTCGTTACATATTCACCAGCTTACTCCCCAAGTCAAGCACACGTAAAGAAGATTTACTTCAAAAACAATTATATTCTTATATTCAGGAATACATACAAAAAGTTGGAAACTTACCCTGTCGTTTCCCCAGTATCTATATACAACACAATTTCAAAGCTTCTGGGCTCAAAATATAAAAATTCATCTTGGCAATTTGTTTGAGAAGCTATGGAGGTACTTGATACCTGTTTTTTCATCCTTTTCTGTTTGTCTGTATGGTTAGTCACAGGTTGTTTTCCTATACTGGGGTCTATGACTTTTGAACTGAGTGGCATATTTTCAAGATTTGTTTCCATTTGCACAGAATGTGGGGTTTCACAAGAATCTTTATTTGGTTTTGGGTATGCAGATGAGTTTTGTTCTTCAACAGGTTCTCTTTCTGTGTCAGAGTCTATGAGGATGACTTCTTCAAATAGCTGTTTCTTGTCTTTATTGGAGCATATTTCTGAATTCTCTTTAAGTTCGTTACTTGTCTCTGGTTGTGTTACACCAACTTCTGAACTAATACTGGGTATATTAGCAAGAACTGGTTTTGGGTTAGTAATATCATCAATAACATTAACTTCATGTTCTTTGAGTTTATTATCTAACATTTGACATAGCTTATCACCAAAACCTTTCAGTATTTTACATTCTTTGCCAGAATTCAAAGGTATGGGGCATTTTTTCAGGGATGCAAGGGCTCTACAATATGCTCGTTCTTTATTTGAACCTTGATTTTTAGCTTCTTCTTTCCACTGGCTTATCCACTGCTCAAATAAAGGGTTGGCTCTTTTATATTTCACGGTGATTCGACGTCGTTTTATTGAATCCATCCTGTATGTATATGTTTCAGAGGTAATTGAAAATTAACGTCAACCACAGCCTAAACTTATCATCACATCACTTATCTCTATCACATTCACATCTCATCACCATGGGCCATGGATATTCCAAATAATCAAATTTCAAATTAAAAGAAAACCATAAAACCGTGTTACTTTATGCAGTGTTGCCAGAAGAAAAATATCTGGTATCATCCACAGAACTCGTAAACAGTGTCACGTGAAGCTAACTAAATGTCACTTGCACCCATATCTTAAAACATTACAAAAGGTGTGTGTGTGTGTGTGTGTGCGCGCGGGCGCGCGTGAGCCCGTATGTGCGTGTGTATGTTAATTCGTCGAGATTCAACTGAAATTGCAGGTTTAGGTTTACCTGCAATATTTGTTTCACAACTAACATACTAACAGGTTGAGATAGTGAAAATTTCATATGAATACCTTATTAACAATACCACCACTCTCAACAATCCCTTCAGCACCGACCATAATAAAGTCAACTTGCTCCAAATCTTTACACATTCTTTCACTGAGAAAATTTTTTTTCATTAAAATTCAAATCTCAATATTCGCCTATAAGTTTATATGGTAAATCAGTTTATGACAAAAATCTACTCAATTTACTTACCCTACACCATCGGGAGCTGACACAGTAACAAAAACCTCAAACCGTTTGTTTTGTTTATGAGCTTTTCTCAGAGTTTGTAAAACTAATCTTGACCTAGAGATAGGCAGTAGATGTATTGAACTTGTAGTACCAAACTTTTTGTCTGCTACTGCGGCAAACATCATCAGTGGTATGTGCGTTGACTGTGTTAAAGGTTATGTTCGAAGTCTCAGCAACGATTGACTGGCGAGCCCCTTATTCACTCGTATTCATAAATTTTAGAGAGTAGTGGGAGCGATGGTGATGGTTGTGGGGTATTCAAGAGGATGCTCATTCTTGATTCGTCCGCACTTTCAGTGGTATGTTCTGATTGATCGTTGTCAATAGGTATGCTGCTGGATACCACCTTTTTTTACCCGTATACCTTCTTCTTTCCTGTTGGAACTGTTGGGATGCTTATAGATCTAAATGACCTTCTTATGAAGTCGTGCGTGGTAATTCGTTTAATTAGACAGGATAACAGTGTATTCGTGATTTATTATATGGTCTATTTCTGCTAGGCCATGTTCTACAATTGCGTATTTCTTCCATTGGATATGGCGGCAGTCTTGTGCTCTTGTATCCTGGTGTTGATACTGCGTTTGGTAGTTCCAATATAAACTGAGCCACAAAAACAAGGAGTCCTGGGAACTGCAGCGGATGTCAAAGGCTGCTTTTGTCCTATGTTTTTCGTAGTTGATTAGTTTACTTGTAAACGGTCTCAATGAGGTCACGGTCTCAATGAGATCGGTGACTCTTTGTATATGTAAGGCAATTAGACTGTCCCTACTACTGGCAGCTTGGTCTAGATGATGATATTCTTCTTCAAAAAAAAAGTGGCTAACAAATCCTGGTATCTGTGTGTGTGTTTTCATTCTTTTTTACTTGGTATATAATTTAAGTAAGATATTTTGAATAGAAAATGTTGTACCTAAATCACAGAATATTACTATTCTGTGCCTAATTATGAATTGTGAACTGTTTCTCTCCTTTTCCTGAAGTTTTTTCAATACTAAAAGAAAAACTTTATTACTTAGGTATGATTTACTTCCGCCCAACTTACTTCATTATTATTGAAACTTATCATCATGTGTTGAACGTTTCTATTTCTTCACACGTATATTCTAACTACTATATCAATTTCTTCTACTGATGATAATAAGCAGTCCTTATCATCTCCTGATGATGTTAACTTGGTCTGCGAAATGCGAATCAAGAAATAGTGTTTTTGTTCTGCTGTGGGAAAAGCGTTTTCTTCAGATCAAAAAAGATATAGGTACATAGACCATTATCCTTCAAAAAGCCTACAACTTTTCGTTACCGGAAACTATCCATATTTACCACCCACAGTACGTGTTTTTAGTCTGCCCTCTGCAGGTGTCTTTTTCCAATGGCTAGTCCAACTACAGTAATCAGTAATATAGTCCTGTCACAGTCACAGTAAAATTGTATGTCTATGACATTGTTTTGTCTTTTAGGTTATGGATGAAATTTCCAGATGGGAAAAATACAGAAGTTTCAGTTGAATTTCTCATAGATAATAAATAATTTCATTACTAGTAATTTCTGTTTATGAAAACTACAACAATTGAAAATGGAAGGTAAAACGGATTATTTATTTTTTATTAATTTGTAGTCTTTTCACAGCAAGAAAAATTATAAACCAATTTGTATTTCTACAAGTGAACAGTAACTCTGAATTGATTCATAAAATAATGAGGGAGTGTATAAAAAAATCAATTTCCTGCTCCTTCAAGCTGATGCTCATTGCAACTGGCTCATTTTGGCAGTAATACATGGTGTCATTCAAACCATGAACTTTTGATTATTTTTTTTAATATAATTCACATTCAAATTGAAGGAAATCGATCATTTTTGGACTTGAAAACCTTTTTGTGATTTGTTCATTTAAGAATATATAGAATATAAGAATAGTCAGTTTTCCATTTGTAATTAGTGTTATACTATGCTAGTATACAGTGATGGATTGAATCAGTAAGCATCAAAATGTTTTAAAAGTGTATTATCAATAACTATATCTCAAGATGTGTCTATCCAATAGCTTCCAGCCGTTAAAGCTGTTTTACCGCTGAATGTGGTAGACAGTAATTGCTGAATTCAGCTGCTGAATAAAATATAATCAATATAAAAATTCCTTTTATGCTGCATTCAGTGCAGCGCTTTCTGCTTTTTCATCTTGGAAGTACCCATTGTCACTTGAATTAAATTAAGATGAAGCTTATTGATATCACACATCAGATTACAGAACGGTAATATTGCCTATATTTTTTATGTTACAAAGGTTGATGTGTTTGCAAATCATTTCAAATGAAAACCAAGTGTTTTTATGTTTTATCGATAAAATATAAAAGGAGCAATTTATTTGAGGAATTCCATACCTTATTCCTGATAACTGGTATACAGCAGTTTCACATTCTATACCAATATATCAAAAAAGTGATGAACAAGTTGAAACAGGTTATACATTTTTATAATTATTTACATTATTTACTTGTTGGAGATTATGGTACCCAAAATTTGTATCATTTTGGCGCTATTCTATATGTGATGGAGTTGGTATGTAAACTCCTGCAGATTTAATTTTAATTTTTGTATTTCAAGCACAAAAAAATATTTTCAATTCCTTTTTGTACTTATTTAGGACCTTATAATAATCAGAGTACCACCTCCCATTATTTTATTGATGACTGTAATATTCCTATCAAATATATTGTTATCTGTAAACCTAATTCTAAGGCTACCATGATTTTCAAAATATAAACCTGTGTTTTTGTTATTACCATCAATGAGTATTACGTTTTTGTATTTTTTTTTGTAGGACAAGTAGGATAAGTATATCTCCTTTAGTTTTCTCCTGAATTTCTTCACAAATTCTCAATCATGATTTATTTGACTAATAATTGAATCAGCTCTATAGCCCATTTTCAAAAGGCTTTTGCAGTAATAATTTACTCAAAACAATTACTTCCAATGGCATGCTCCTAGGTGTTATAATCCTAGACCACACACTTGGCTATAAATCACATATTTCCGCTGTAATTCTGAAATCCATGAAGATGCTTGGCCTTATAATGAGAACCACCTTCGAATTTTACTAACACAATTTCCTGTGATATATTGCTTTCAAGATGCATGTGTACAATGACTGCATTAGAACGCATATTGAACATACCTTCTCTCGAGACATGGAAAAAAATAGAGACTTGATACTTCTATTTAAAATTATCAATAAACTGAGTACCAGCAACGAGCTTTTCTCCAAATTATCTCTTTGATGATCTAACTCTTTGAATAATCTTCAAATCTTTAATATATCAGTTTTTCAATCCACTTCAACACATTTTTATCCCCAACATATACTGCAATTTCAAAAGGATAGCCCACTTAGTTGATATACTGCTTGGACTTTTCTGCAAGTAAGCAAGCACAACTCATGCCTGTTACTTGATAATCTTGCCGAATGAGCATCTTCAGATTTTCAGGTATTAACTTTACCTAGTTATCAATGTTAGAACTCATTTTTAGGCAATATATAACCAGTAACCACTGTGCTGACAACAATAATTCTTATGACAGATTTTTTTTCTCATTATACCAACCATGACATGGTTGAATGGAATCTGAAGTACCAAATGTTTTGCCTGATTGCTGCACTGTTTGTAACCTTTGTTGTAGTATTGAATATTATTGGAGTTTTATCACAACACCAAACCGTTATTTTAACACCTGGACACTTGTCTTGATCACCAAGTGATTATCTTCAATAGGAAGATTGAACTAAATATACATAAAATGTTATTCTTATTTATACCATTGATACCTCTGCTAGGTACCTGTGTCTTAATTATCTTGAATTAATAATAGTAGATAAGGCAACATTGTAAAATTAATTTAAGACAATTAAGACGCAGGTACCTAGCAGAGATATCTATGGTATAAATAAGGATAACATTGTATGTATATTTAGTGTAATTTTCCTCTTGAAGATGATCACTTGGTGATCGAAACACGTGTCAAAGTGTTACAATAACAGTTTCGTGTTGGGATAAAACTCCAGTAATATATTTTTTCCGAGTTAGTTGTTGCTGAGACCTCTAGATATAACCTTTGTCTTCGCAGTTATGCACATACCACAAGTCTGATGCAGTGACAGAAGGAAAGTTTGTTACTTCAGGCTTCATTCGATTACGGCCTACCAACCCGGATTTTGATCTCTTTTAATCATGACTCCTGCCGTGAAAGGCTATGTTCTGATATACCAATCATTTACATTTTTATAGTAATAAAACATGATGATTTCAAAGTGTATCAATAAAAAAAAAGTATTGTAAAGTAGTAGGTAACTGGTCTTTAAAACACTCCACTTATACTTCAATACAACAAAACCAAATAGCGAGTCAGAGGGTAAGCAAATTGACAATATTTTCAGTAACTAACTTGATTTTTGTTCAAATTGTTTTGTAAATCAATAGTCAATAATATGACGTTGAATCTCAAAATCACATTGCGAAGAAATGGTTCTATAGTGAAAGTAATTACAGTTTGTAAATTCAGAATGCTCACAAACCCAGGAAAGATGAATGGCTTATTAGAGATGAACTGTAAATATAAAAACTTTCATGATATTCTTTACTACAACTTTGACTTTGTTTTTCCTGAAAGACTACGATTGCTACAAATTGGGTTACGTTTGATATAAAAAAGATACTTCAAATATATTGGTGATCTGCATAGCTTATATAAGAAAACAAAATGTTAATAGTGGTCAATATTCGAATAATATGAATATCAACACCAGGCATTGTAACGAATTAGCTATTCCCTGCCATTATTCTACATATCATGAGAAAGGAGCTTACTATCAGGCAATAAAAGCTTATAGTTCTCTACCGAAGGAACTTAAAAATATCAGTCGAAGAAGTTTAGAAGTAGAGTCATTTCTTACTTGAGACATAAATGCTTCTATTCGTTTAACTGGTGGCTAATTTGAAATTTGTTATGAAATTTTTTAATAAAAATAGCTATGTAACTGTTGTTATCATGAATATTTTTGACTGTAACTTATCGATGATGAAATGTTAATGTATCTCAGTTTGAAAATTTAATCATTGGTAAAATCGGTACTTTTCTAGGGTAAATGAGGATTAACTCCTCGAAAGTTTTGCTGTGTCCACTGTAGATTGTATTGCAATAAAATTATTATTATTATTATATTACTCAGTTTTTTTCCACAAGATGTTTTTTTTTAGTACTGAATATCATAAAATTGTGCAAATCAATTGATTAAAATCGTTAAAAGTTGTATGAAAATTGCATTTTGCTCATTTATATCCTCAGAAAGAACTTCCAGGGTTTTCACAGTTTGATTTAATAAAACGCTAATTTAAAAAAAATATATTTAAAAACTCGGAATATAAGTATTTGCATCGACCTTCTTTGGGTAATTTTACCTTCCACAATCGGAAAATTTCAACGAAGAACTTTATACACTTGTAGAAAGGGCAAATTGTCTATAATAGTTTATCCCGATCATAACGAAATTTTGTCTACTAAAAAAAAAGAGCTAAGAAATTACGCAATACGGAGGCTAAAATCTGCCTTCGTCTTCAGAATTGGACAAAATTTAAGTTTAAACGCACTTTTTCCTTCGCCGATTCCTTTTATTTCCCATGTTCCTTGACAGTTATCAAAGGAGTTTTGAAATGTGAAATATGTAATAATAAATTTATAAATATGTGTAAAGTTCTCCATAGCAAGGAATGAAAAAATACCCTAAGAAGGTTGATACAAACTGATTTTTCCCCACATAAAAGTATTTTTTTTTATAAATACAATTGGTTGAAATGTTCAAATTTTTTACTTAATACCGAATTTTCAAGGAGTTGGAGAGTATTTCTGCAAAATAATAAAGGAGGATGAGGATATTTCTGTTGGAGTTGCTGCAATAAAAACTTTAATGGCCATAATTAAACATTCAACATGTGAGTAATGAATTAAGAACTTCAATAAACAAAAAACTCTTCATAAACATCAATTTGTAACTCAAATATACTATTAGAGAATAAGGATTTTTTCATTATAGCTGAAACTGTTCAAGAATTGGAGGCAAATCTCAAAGATGCAATTCAGGAAATGAAAAATTGTGATTATACAGTTGCTGCCATTAATTCAGGATGTGAACTTTTCCTCCGATTCATAACATTTGCTGTCTTAGATACAAGGGTAAGGGTATATATTCATATTGAAGTGACACATTTGAAATATTTGAATTTAGGTATTTTTTCATCCTAAGATTTCGTTAAGTTGTGCCTCCATATTTCCACATTCAATATGAATGATTTTTCAAGTTTTGATCCGTTAGTGTAATCTATGATCACCAGTTTTTGACTATCCTCTTCATACACTCGTAATAACCTCTCAATAATTATAGTAAATAAAAATATCTCAACGGATGCACTGTTTGGAACCTTTGGTGTAGTAATGATTATTACTGGAGTTTTATTCCAACACCAATCCGTTATTTTAACACCTCGACACGTGTTTCGATCACCAAGTGATCATCTTCAAGAGAAAGATTGAACTAAATATACGTTGAATGTTATCCTTATTTATACCATAGTAGTCTTTTCTACGTACCTGCGTCCTGAGTGTTTTAAATTAATTTCACAATGTTGCTCTACTATCCTGCCCTGCTAAGCAAAAGTGCCGTATGTACAAAACAGCCATTTTGAGATATGAGACTATTTGCATTTAACTTTGACCAAGAGAATTTACGGTCAATTGCGCAGTGATACATGTGTTCCTTGATTAACTTGAGCATTACTTACTTTTTACAATAGTAATTTTTCAAAAACTCCACGTTTTTTCGCTAGAAAATCATATACTGCAGAAATTGTGTAACCATTACAAACGAAAAATGCAGTATATACACGCACATACTGCTTTATTATCGAGCAGTCTTCACATACTACATTCATGCGTAGTAACTCGCTGAATAGTGTGAATGAGAAACTACATTGAAAATCATTTTATATTGCTCCATTGAAATATCAATTAACATTATCATTGTAATTTATCATGAATTCCTAATTTTTTTAAGGCAAGAGAGGCCTGATTTCCAACTCTTCTCAAAATCGTTTCCTATTATTTGGATTAACACTATTGAGATTCTTGAGAATACTTTCGCCTTTCTCTATTGACAATCCACATGGTGACGATAAAGGGGATGGTGCGGGCATTCCATTGTTTTTCATGTTCTTTTTACACAGAAAATCCAGTGTCATATAATCATCTTTCGCCAAATCGGTTTTACATTTCAGATAATAATTCCCCCCCATTGCTTTTATATGAACGATGTCTGCTAAGTATAATCTGTTTTCTGCCTTTTGAATTTTTTGTTGCGACTTGAAATCCTTCCAGAAAAAAAAATTGTGTGTTTCATTTCTTTCACATCCACTTTTGACTTATTGGCACTTTGAACAGATTCTGAGAAATCCCTGAAATCGTATGTCTTTTTCTGTTTCTTCAAAGCAGCTTCCACCTGATGGTAAAAGCTATCAGCTGTCATGAATGTGTGACCGGGCACAAAGTACTGTATATCAATTTCGTAAATAGCCACGTCATCTGAATTTACGACGTATACCAAAAAACTTAGAAAACACCAATTTTTATTTACGCTGGAGCAGTAGTTCAACCACAGAACAATACGTGGTTTAAAAATCTGTCTGTTTAAAATCTGTTTTTCCGTTAACCAGCTGTCGCACCCCTACGAACGACAACCCTCAGAAGTCTAAACTTGTGCGAGCTAAGGATTAACGAGGTCTTACCTTTTAACGTGTGATTCCTAACACGGGTTGGACGGTAGCAAGTGAAGATTGATCGTTCAGACTAGGGCTTGAACCACCGACCAACACGGCAGTCAATTCGAGTGAGTGAACAAAGCACCCACGCCGAACCGCTTGGCTATCGACTATATTTAAAAAAAAAATGCGTAGAAGGTACTAATAATGTCCTCCTTGTTTCAACCAGTGATACCCTCATGCCATAAACACACAAGTGGTTTTTGATGTTATTTCTTCCCCACTGGAACGAAGCTTTCATTATATACAACGATCCTTTTTGTGAAGATAACTTTTTTGAAACAGTCGACACGTGGCAACATAATTACTTTTTGTAAATCTGGTGAAAAACAAAGTGTGCCATCTACAAATGACTGTTGAGCATGTTCGCGATACAGATTTCCAGCTTTAGCGGCCTTATCTATGTGAATTCTCCAGTTTTGGCATTGTTCACAATGGAGTTGTAGATTTTCTTCTGAATGGCCATGTAATTTGAAACTCTCACAATCTTCGCATTCTTCATGGCCTAACAATGCAAACGATATATGCAAGCTCTTTCTGTCGGTAAATTTCATAGGATAATTTTAAATCTGGATACTTTTCTCGAAAATTTTTGAACATTAGAGAAATATATAATATAACATAAATCTTACATAACTAATTCATTATAACATTAAAAATAGAAATATTTACATCACTGGGTAGATATCTAGTCTGCGGTGCATGCTCACGACGATAATGAGATATTGTAGGATTGAAAGATTCTATATGGTGTGTAAGTAAATCATAGTGTTGGAATTTATTGCTTTTTCATGTTTTCCGGCGTAAACAATCGAACAAAAACTACTACTTATTTGTAACCTCCAAACAGACAGTTAACAGCACATCGCGCCATCTCATCAACTTACTAAGCAAAAAGGCAGTAACTCACATGTGCTAAGAAAGAGCGCCGTATATACATTGCATATGCCGCACTTTTGTTAAATATACTGCATATACTGCTTTTGTTCCTAGTATTCACAGTGAATTTTGTACATACGGCAAACAAAATCAACGAATATTTCCACTTCTGCTGCTATATACGTAGTTTTTGCTTGGTAAAGAGGACACAAAATGTTCATATTCTACAACCATCCGAAAATTTCAAAATGACCATTTTTGTACATACAGCACTTTTGCTTAGCAGGGCAGTATCTGCATCATTTATGAGAAATCAATAATATTTTGTCAGGGAGAGTACTCATGTCTAGGTGTTATTCAAAGTATATGTTTTTTTTAAAATCTTTATTGCTCCAGAGCACTGCTAGATTAGAAAAATTCCACTAAAATGTCTTAAAACTTGTCACAGTATTAAGGCTTTGTTACTGTCTATATATTATGATGAAAGTATTCAGAAAGAAATTGTGTTAAGCTCATGAAATATTTATATACATTTAGAACAATTTGAGGAGAAATAGTTGGGACTTTCAGGTATTTTCATTGAATATTAAAATTTTTAATTAGACAACAATTAACGAATATCTCTAGAGTTTTATCCCAACAACAAACCGTTATTTCAACACCTCGACACGTGTTTCGATCACCAAGTGATCATCTTCAAGACGAAGATGGTCACTTGGTGATCGAAACACGTGCCGAGGTGTTAAAATGTCGGTTTGGTGTTGGGATAAAGCTCCAGTAATATTCATTACTACACTAAAGCTTCCAAACAGTGCATCACAATCAATAAGTACATATAAAACTTTGTCAATTTCATGGTATACCTAAAGTCTCAGCAGCGACTGACTGGCGAGCTACATGTTTACTCATATTTATAAATTTTAAAGGCTGGTGGGGATGATGGTAGAGAGAATGAGGGTGTGGTGTCCATGTGAATGCTCACTTTTGATTAATACGTACTTTTGCCAGGTTTTCTTATTGGTACACATTGTTGACTGGTACGCTGCTGGAGAGATGTCTTATTCTAGTCTGGCCTTCTTGAGTACTGAATACCATGTTCTGTTGACCCGTATACCTTCTTTATCTTGAAACTGTTGGAATTCTTATAGATCTCAATGGCCTTCATATGAAATCAAACATGGTAAAGTGTTGAATTAGATAGGACAGACAGCAGTTTCTTCATATTTCATGTGGGCTGTTTCTACTAGAACATGTTCTGCAATTGCGGATTTCTCCGGTTGCATAAGGCGGCAGTTGCGCTTGTGTTCTTGTATTCTGGTTTTGATACAGCATTTGGTAATAGTTCCAAGATAAACTGAGCCACATAAATAGGAAATTTTGAAAACACCGTTGAATTTCAGAGGCTCTTTTGAGTCCTTGTCCAATCTGTAGTTGATTAGTTGGCTTGTAAATGGTCTTAATGTTGTGACATTGAAACTGATCAAAGTTGGAGTAATTCTTTTTCTAAAATATACAGCACGTTTGCTTTCTTGTGCTATAAACCCCTTGGACTTTAGTGCTTGGTCTCGATGACGAAGTTCTTTTTCAAAAATATTTTGATCACAAATCTGGGTGGCACAATCAACAAGGGTTTGCGATAAAGTGTGTGACCTAAATCTCAGTTTTTTTGATAACCAGTACTTCTAAAAATGAATGAATGACAAGGAGATTGCTATACTCTCTTCGGGTAAAGGCAAAGCCACGACAGTTCTGACTACTAAGTACTATCAACAGAAAATAATTGATATACTAGACCGATCATCCTACAAGATGTTCAAACGTGATCCGACAATAAAGATTCTGAAGAAAACTAACCAGTTTATCGAATATATTTCATTTTCAACTGAAGACAAGCACCTACTTCGGAAGTTTGAAGCCTTACCACGTAGACTCTACGGCCAAATCTTTCCCTCAGTCCAATTGACAACGAAATCGGTCCATTTACTTATCCCCTTGAGAAATACTTGACGAATATACTGCAGCTATATTTAGGAAAATGAAAATGTCACATCAAAGACTCAACTATTTCATTGAGAAAATAGGTACTTTGGATCTGCAGCTTGTTGTTTATGTAATTTCGATGTCGTTTCTCTCTTCACTATGGTACCAGTAAAGGAGACGTTGGAGTATATCGAACAAATTTTCTAGCGGGTTTTCGAGTATGTTCTCACCACTACATATTTGCAATGAACCAATGGATGAAGTCGTCATGGGAAGTCTTTTCAGGTTTCATATTTCCTCATAGAAGTTTTCGGGAAGAAAGCGAGTTTTCCTTCACAATCACATTAGACAAATAAATGTAGTTTAAAAAACTAAAAAACACGCTTTTAAAGAACATCGAACTAAAAAGTTAAAAATGTTTTTTTTAAATAGGTAAGCTTAAAACAATAATGAACGAAAAATACTAGTATTATTGTGAAAAAAGCGACGGGCGCTTGATCAATCAACTGTATATTGTTTAGAAAAATGACCGTTGATATTTTCCGATTCCGGAGAGGGAGCCTGAAAATCAGCTACCAAGCCCAAGGCAGCAGGCGCGCAAAAGAGGGTTACAAATAAGGCAGCAGGCGCGCGTGTCAATAAAAATACATGTAAAGTGAGTTCGAATTATATCAAAGAGGTTACGTATTCTGTCAAATACAGATCCCGAGCTTGAGAGTTACATACAGGTGAAGCTAATAAAAGCGTGTTAAAAAAACATAACGTCATCACAAAATACTGGTTGATTCAACAGGTCAAACAAACATAAAAAAGATAAAAATGTCAATATAAAACATACATAAAAAAGTTAATAAGCTACAATCAAAATAGGATTCAAGGAGAAACTCATCCACAGAGTAGTTTTTGCAATAGAAAAATATCGAGTCGCCTTTTGAAGACATTGACATTTGAGGATTATATATCTTAACCCCAATGCACATGGGGTGATTCTTTGATACTGTCAATCTACTATAAGCTTGATGTAGTTGAGAGTTATTTCTGGTGAAATGTTCAATATGTTGATGACACTTTTGTCATTTGAAGTGACGGGAACAAGTATTAGAACAGTTTCAACGCCACATCAACTTCTTGCATCCTGGTATGCCATTTTACAATGCACTGGTCAATAAAAAAACTGACGGAAAAGTAGATGACATAGTTTATTGTAAACCTACTGAGACTGATCGGTATCTCAATAAGAACTCCAATTACCATCCATTGAAAAAAACGTGCTATGATGAAAACCCATGTTGAACGTGCCACCAGGATTTGTTAGCCACTTCTTTTTGAAGAATAATTTCGTCATCTAGACCAAGCACTATAGGCCAATGGGTTCACAGTGAAAGATATCAAATGTATCCTGGAAGAATTACTTCGACTTCGACTACGATTCAGTTGTCTGTGGTAGGCACAGTCTAATTGCCTTACATATACAAAGTCACGGACCTCATTGAGCCCATTTACAAGTAAACTAATCAACTACGCTATCAGATTTATATATCAGGACAAAAGGGAGCTTTGACAACCGCCGAAGTTCACAGGACTTCTTGTTTCTGTGGCTCAGTTTATATTGGAACTACCAAACGCAGTATCAACACCAGGATACAAGAGCACTACAAGTGAATAAGTAGGTTGCCAGTCAGTCGTTGCTGAGATTTCGAGACATAATCTTCGTCCTCACATTTAACGCACATACCACTGATGAATGATGATGATGTGGTACTACAAGTTCGATACGTCTACGGCTTATCAGAATTTTGTTTTTTTAAAGCGTGACTCCGGCCGTGAAAGCCTATGTTCTTAAATTATTATTGTTTTCTAAAATACTTGTTAGTGATTTTATATAGTGATTAGCATATGTTTGGTAATAGATATTGTGTATTTTTTAGACTTTTGAAGACTGCAAGAAAATAATGTTGGATAGAGGTCATTTATTTATTAAACGATTAGATGAGGCAAGAGGAAAAATAGTCAAACAGGCTTCAAATTTTATTGAAGATGGCTCGGTAAAATACTGAACAAATTTTAATTCTGATTATTAACGTTGATTTTCCTTATAGAGAATATTGACCCACTCTAGGTCAAGAGTGGTTTTACAAACCCTGAGAAAAGCTCATAAACAAAATAAAAGATTTGAGGTTTTTGTTACTGTGTCAGCTCCCGATGGTGTAGGGTAAGTAAATTGAGTAGATTTTTGTCATAAACTGATTCACCATATAAACTTATAGAAGCGAATATTGAGATTTGAATTTTAATGAAAAAACATTTTCTCAGTGAAAAAATGTGTAAAGATTTGGAGGCAGACGGTATACCTTGTACTCTCATCTTAGACTCGGCTATAGGATATATTATGGAGCAAGTTGACTTTATTATGGTCGGTGCTGAAGGGGTTGTCGAGAGTGGCGGTATTGTAAATAAGGTATTTATATGAATTTTTAATTTTTTCATTATCTCAACCTGTTAGTATGTTAGTGTGAGACAAATATTGTAGGTTAACCTAAACTTGGAATTTCACCTGAATCATGACGAACTAATACATACACACGCACGTATGCTCGCACGCGCGCACACGAGATTTTGCAATGTCTATTAAGAGCAAATGTTTTACAGAAAAACGTTTTTGCTATAGCTCTATTCATCAATTATCACATTATTTCAAAAAATCCTCTCTACACATTTTTGGTTTTGGTAAGGCTAAATAATTTGTGATGATAACTTATATCAAGTTAAAAAGTAGTTGAATTGATTATTATTATTGTTTTGATTTCAGGTTGGCACTTACACCATGGCCGTCTGTGCAAAGGAAATGAAAAAACGATTTTATGTGTTAACTGAAAGCTTCAAGTTTTCAAGGTCATTTCCATTAAATCAGCAGGATTTACCTGTTGAATATAAGGTGAGTTTTGATATTATTTCTACACCAAACATAACACAATTTATTTCAGTACACTTCTAAAATGCGAGCTAGTAAGGACCTGAGAAAGATACATCCACTGGTAGACTACACTCCACCATCTTATATTACCCTTTTATTTACGGATCTCGGAATTTTAACGCCTTCAGCAGTTAGTGACCAACTTATTACATTGTATTTATAAATGTTGATGTATTCGTGGCAATATGCAGTAAAATCTTTTTAAGTAATTTTGTTTTCTCAAATAGGATTCCTCTAAGGTCTGTTTTTAACAGAATTATTTGCTATCCCGAACTATAATCATGGTCTATCGAAACTGGTTCAGCTCCAATGCAAAAAACAATCGATATCAATCCAGCTAATAAAATTGAAGATGATAATTTCAAAAGATCCATTCTTATTGATTCTTTATCACCAGAATAGAAAACACATTTCATAATCAATTATCATTTTTCTGTTATTTTAGTGGACTACCCTGTAAATATCTTGACCACAAACATTTTTGGGATCTGTTTTGAAAAAAGTCGGAATATCTTATATTCAATTCCCTATGGAATGAAAACTGTTCAGGATTGAATTGAACCAACAGACACAATTGATCAGAAAATGGAATTGCTACTATGATTTAACAAAACGGATTGGATGAAATGTCATTTTTCATAAGAGATGGGAAATCTTAACAATGCAGTGTGTAAATCATATCAAAAAAGTTGGTTCCCAATACAAAAACTAAAAACATTTCAACATCACTATGAATAATTTTTAAAGGAGACTAGTATAGAACACAATTGGTCAACACCCTAGATGCCGATGAATCAGTCGTGCCGTAAATAACATTTTGATGAAGAGAGTTAATAAATACCTGGAAGTTAACTGAAATGTATTCGAACATATTTTGAAATCGTTTTTATTTTTTGTGTGAAAAGACAATGCATTATTTTTGAATATTCGCTCTTTTATGAAAATATACAGGATGTTACATTTCAATTACCGAAAGAGTTGGAAAAACGCCATTATTTTCATTTGATTAAGCATATATACTGTATTTGTTAATTTTCAGAATATGAATCCCATTATTTTTCATAATATGTCTATCACGCTGTACCCTCCATATGAAGGAAAAATGAAACAAACTGTCTTTGTCCCAATGTTCTGTTTCCAATATTAAGCCCAACTATTTCCTAAAATACCCTACTGTTATGTTGATCTATTAACATGGCATTAGTTAGCAGTTAGTTCCCGAAATCTACATTTCAACTATCTGATAATGTATACCGACCATGTTTGCGGTTTAGTTAATGAAACAGCGATTTCCATGAGCGCTGAGATTAGTAGTTCGGGAGAATAGGGATATAACGGAAATTGGGAAAATATTACTAGTTTCAAGAATTAAAAGTTACAAGTTGTTACGTCACTGTCCAGGCGCTACTAGATTTTTAGTTAACCCTGATTTTCGAAAGACACGTGTACCAATTTCACAGCTGTCGGATCATTAGTTTGTGGGATAGAACATTTTGAGTGAAGCAATCTTTGTTTGTTTGAAGAAAATGGATAAAAAGGAATTTCGTGTGTTGATAAAGCATTACTTTTTGGCGAAAAAAACTTGAAGCCAAGGTTTGGCTTGATAAGTTTAAACGAGGTAAAATGAGCACTGAGGACGATGGACGCCTCGCTATACAGTAGCGTCTTCAGACGTCTCTATACTACACGAGATCTGTTCTAAATATAGGGTTTAAATTTCGCGGGCTACATGAATTCGATTAGCAATTTTTTATGTTGGTACACTCGTCTCGAATATATATTTACAGTTTTAGCTTTTTAGCATGCTTAGTTTGTTGGTGAGAGACATAAAAATTATAAGTGTTTTGCATGTTCGGCAATTTTTGCTATAAAAAATGGATCAGAGAATTTGCATTAAATTTTGTGTGAAATGAAATAAAGTGCTCAAAAACATTTGACTCTTGAGTCAAAAAAATGTTTACAAGGGGCACAAGCTTTTAACAAAAGGTATGGAGAAAATGTGAATGACGAGACATAAACATAAAGAACCTATGAAAACGTTTAGAAAGTGAAGAAAATTGTTATGGAGACTCGTTAGAGAGGTTGCTGAGGATGTAGGTATATTGGTTGGCTCAAGCCATGCCATTTTTTCGTAAATTTTGAGTATAAAGCGTGTGGCAGCTAAGTTCATTCCAAAACTGCTGAGTTTTGACCAAAAAAACTGTCTCATAAGCATCACTCAGGAATTATTGAATGAAGTCAACAGCCCATCCAGAAAAGAGCTATTCGCCTAATCGGAAACGTGAACATCACTTGCAACCTTGATAAACTGGAACATAGAAGAAAGGTTGGGGATTTGTCTTTTCTGTGTAGATACTTCCACGGGAAGTGTTCACATTCGATTCCACCAAGAATGGTACATATCAGAAATACACGACGAACTGTGGCTGCTCATCGTTTTGTGGTTCAACTCAGTACACTTCGAACTTCACTGTTTAAGAATTCTTTCATTTGGAGAACTACGTTAATGTAGAATGAACTTCCTGAGAACGTTTTTCCAAATGGATTTAATCTCTAGTGATTCAAATCCAATGTGAATCGCTACTTTCGCACAGGCACCTCTCTTAGAGCGCCAAAATAATTTTTTGTAATGCTTGTGTTTTGTCCTTGAAAAGAAATTGTGGAAGAATAATTCAAGGCTTTTATATCACGATAATGGACCTTTCACTCGTCATTGCTTGTTTGTAATTTTTGGGGCCAAAAACAACACCGTAATTTTTGTGCATTCAGAAACTTGAGTTTCTAATAATTTGACCATGCCACACAGTCCCCTACGGCTCTGAGGAATGATTGATTCTCTATAGCCCCCTACGACTCTAAATAATGATTCTCCACAGCCCCCTACGGGTTTCAAAAATGTATTACAAGTTGCATCAAATCGTTACATGGTTGGCAACAGTACAAAAGATACCTAAAAAAGTTATACTTATGTTACACAATTTTTGCAAAATAATACATGTAGAATGAAAATAAAAATTATTAAACGAAATTACGTAGTCAATTTTGAACTAGATTAAATGGTAAAAATTGGTGTCCAATTTTATATATGTCTGTACAAAAAGGCTTTGCCTTTTTCCTAAAGTCTCTGTCCTGGTGTTTTGATGTATTATGCCCAATAAAACAAAGTAAAGTTAAGAAGGCAAATGCTCAAGAGAAATGTTCTATCTGATCACCAGTTATGAAAAAATCGATGCCCAAAACATGCTTACCTATATATAAGATAGAGAGAACATAAAAAACAATCAAACAGAATAAAATTAACTATTTTTCTAAAAAAAATGGAAATGCAGCCAATAAAACGAAGTAGATATGGAAAATAATAAATAGCGAACTAGGGAAACCAATGCATTTTGATGCTGGGGAGGGGGCATTACTTTAAACTATAATTCAATCTCAGTTGGGAATGCGCAAAATACATCTGAATTAATTGCTCAGTACTTTTCAAACACTGCTAATCTATCATAGCCACCAACTTTGGACAGAATTTAACCCTACCCTGCACCAGTAGTACGAATGTCAGTATCCAACACCCCTTTGATAATAGCCCTATATTAGAATCTGAAATATATGATGCTATGAGATCAATGAAAAATGAGACGCCGACAGGCATTGATGAAATATCAATAATTACAGTTAAAGATCAGGGCCGTAGCGAAAAGAAAAACCGGAGGGGGAGGGGAGGGAATCCAAATTTTCCCAAGCCCACCAGTAAAATTTACCAACTTTCGAGAAAATGAAAGCCGAGGGATTAGTTACTACTATAATATATTAATTTTCTTAGTTAGCTATCCAAAGCTTGCCTGAATGCTGATGCCCGTTAGGGTATATATGCACAAATAAAAACAAATATTGGTAATTATAAAAATAATAATGGGAATTATTCTATTTTGGACCAAGGTCCTTGGTCTTCCACCATATCCACCATGTATAGGAATATTCAATACAAATGAAAGGAAACAACACTTGAATAATATTGTGCTTATTGTTTTCTACTAGTATTTTTTCACAGCCCGAAATTTCCCAACTTTTCCAAGTCGAAAAAACACCGAAATTTTGGGAATTTTGTAAAATTGTCACTTCAAAATTTGTGGACTGTTCAGGACTGTTCTCTTACTTGGGAGAAATTAAACTTTTTTGAAGTTTTCAAACTACTCAGAATTTCAAAGTATGGGATCTCCAAGTTATGCATGTTGAGAAATCCAAACCTTCTCCTGGTTCTTTTCCTTTTCTTATTACATCTCCCTTTCTTTTCTCTCATTTTTATTTTATTAGTTTTTATTCACTTTGTTAATATTATTTTTTTCTATCTTCACGGCCAAAAATTTCCCAACTTTTTCCCAAGTCGAAAAAGCAGGGGGGAGGTTCCCCCCCTTGATGAACTAGTCTTTCATACAAGGGTACCCACAGGAATTTAAGAATGCTTTGGTAATTTCCCTATTCACAAAAGGAAATCGTGCTGAGATTGATAACTATAGACATATCTCTCTACTATGCTCGCTCTCAAAATTGTATGAGAAAATTGTAGCCTCGAGAATAAGGGAGTATCTAGAAATCAACAACATTATTTAACAACCAGCATGGTTTCAAGAAAAATCGTTCCATAGAAACAGCCTCTTATCACTTTCTCAGCAATATATATTCCAACTTGGACGCTGGTAACTTTGTTATAAGTGTATTCTTCGACTCGTCGAAGGCATTCGACTCTGTGACATGGAAATTTCTGTCTGATAAGTTGATTGGACTTGGTCTTCCAAAAAATGTAATAAGATGGTTGGGCTCCTATATGGAGGGGCGCTGTATGTCAGTCAAATATGGAGGCACCATGTCAGATGAGCATGCTGTTAAACTGGGCGTTCCTCAAGGCTCAGTTTTAGGACCATTATTATTCATTATATTTATCAATTATTTTCCTGAATATGTGAGGGACTGCCACGTAACGATATTTGCAGATGACACCACTGTTACAGTTACTGGATATACTATGGACGACGTGGTAACCAAAATTAGTAACATTATCGATGAATTCACTTCTTGGTGTGAACGCAACCGCCTAGTTTTGAACACCTCAAAATCAGTGACAATGAAATTTTATAACAGAAATGAAGATATAGTGTTCTCTATTGATGAAATAGATATGTCACAAGAAGTAACATTTTTAGGAACAATTTTA